TGTGTGTGATGTGTGTGTGTGTGTGTGAGGAGCAGGAGAGTGAGTCCTTGTGAGTTACTTTTCTTCGGAATGTCTCTTATCAGGTGGTGCCAAGCTTACCTCGTTTATAGTGGCCCCGAATAGATTCTTTACTGGCAATAACGACGATACTGTGTTACCGCCATGGTTTGGTCTCTAAAAACGGTGTCTTTTTATTTCTTAGCTATTTCGTGTATTCTTAAAAAACAGTGTTGCATTGTACGTACTCTTTATGCGATTAACTAAGCTGCTCAATGCCATCTGTTTTTTTTATATTGTTGTATATAGAGGAGCATTAAATGTTTCCAGTGTATGATTCTATAAATTTTTTCAGTATTTTGCATTAAAAATAAATATTTTTTTATTGTGCCTTAGTTTTGTCATACGTATGTATATATATATTTTTACTTATGTGCGATGCAAACGCTAATGTCCTAATGAAATAATTTTTTTAATTGATAATGCTGGATGTTATACATTACGTGAATTTTAATTGCGTTCCTATTTAAGAATAGTAATATCATATTATATATTATAGTATGATTAATTATTTATATATCTTTAATAGAGATATGCTGAATTATCAATGATGCTTTTTATTTGACATTAGTTCCATATTTTAATAGCATTGAATCTAACATAAATGGCCCGTATGTATAGATGGAATGTCAGCTTTATGGTCATACTGTAGTCTTGCCATTACGAAAATTATCCGAATTATTATGACTGATTATGATGTTCATATAAAAGTGTATATATTAAAGCATGTTATATTTCGGGAGTTTAACTGATTTTTATATTTATTCTATTTTTTATTTTTTTAGTGTGTGTGTGTGTGTGTGTGTGTGTGTGTGTGTGTGTGTGCATGTGTGTGCATGTGTGTGTGCGCGCGCGCGTGTGTGTAAACATGCACAAGAGCTATAGATCTGTGCTGATGTATTACCGCTACGCTTTCATTAAATGACACCGACAACATCGTCAAGCTGAGCTAAAAATACCTCGGCTTGATTAGGTCTGTAATTATTATAACAGCTGCTAAAAAAGAATGTGGACCCTGTCACGTCGGTGTCTTCTAAACAAGCAAGTGGCTTACTGACTACAATGTTGTGTTGGATGGTCATTCACCGTACCGTGCCGTATCGTATGAAGCCTTGTCACAACATGCCTGTCTTGCACTGCAAGTGGTAGCCTTGTGTTCATCCCCACGTGTTAAAATGATACGCTAGGTGCTTTCAGAGTTCTGCGGGCTATTTTCGAAAGTAGTATTGCTCTTGTGATTGCGCTAGCGGTACCTATATATTTATACGCAATTAATTTCCCTAATGGGAATATCACGCCTAGAGTACAGCTGTTCGGTAAAAGCTTCACGATGCAACGAGCAAAGACTTGCGTTCCGGCTGAATCAGTTATCATCAGTTCTGACGTGTTCGTTACACACTGGCGCCATCTGCTGTAGTAAAGCAGAATAAAACGACTGACATGCGTCGGCATTTTTTATTCTGAACGAGATTTCCTCACTGCAGCGATGTAAACACCAGCTTCCTATACTGTCTTGTTTGCGATATTAGTGAAACACATTCTTACACCAGGGACGTATTAAAACTGAACTCTAAGCCCTAACCCTAAGTTTAACCCTAACCCTAATACTACCGATGTTTATCTATCGGATCTTTAGGTGGCATATAATAGTTCATTTATATCATAAAAAGAAATCTTGTAGATTTAGTGTAATCAACAGTCTTAAAATTTATTGTGACGTTAAAAGTAGTCAACTGACCCTATAACGATCTCTACACAAGAGTGATGTATTCAACAGTTTATACAATTGCATATGACTACAGTGGTCTCGGCTACAGTACACACGTGCGCAGCTGTGTTTAAAAGGTCAGCATATATGTAAATGTTAAATTATTACGTCGCTTAAATAATATAGCCACCTTTATCACCGTGTGAAACCAACCTAACAACAATCCAAATGTAATATAAACACGCTATACATTTGCGGTGGTGTTAATAAGAAAAAACCTCAACAAGAAACAATTAAACCATATCTCACAAATATGTCAAAAATGAGTTATACGTTCGCCGTAAACCAAGAGATTTGCTAGACACAAATAAAAGTGCTCGCTCGTTGTCCACTTGCCTACGTAATCCGTAGATAAGGCCTCAATTTGCGACGGCAGAACCTAACTATAAGTTATTATTCATTGCGCAAGCTGCCGTATCAACATCAAGCGCTCAACCAGGATGAAGATAAGCGTCATCTAACATACTAGATATCAGTCAAGGCACATACACTATAAGATACCCGTTTGGTTCAAACCTTCCAACGTTCCGTATAAGCATATATATATATATATATATATATTACTACTGCGGAAAAAACGTGATGTCTGAGCAAAATAGAAACGAATATTAAACATTACGATTTCAAAGCAAATGATCATAGTAAACGATAATATGATTTAAACAGTGAGATTTCCGATCTTTAAAGATGAAATCGCCATTGCTCTTAGTTAAACCAACAACACCGTCTGTGAATTAAATAATAATTATTGCAAAGTATACAGACGTTGGCTAATCACAACCAAATATCATTTTAAGTTAAACACCCGGCCACCTACGTGGTATATTGCAGAAGATTGAGAGGCGTTAATAGCGATGTATGAGGAATGAGAGCAACAAAAGAACGTTACGAATTTAGCGTGCATAACAGGTACACTGCGCACGCGCAAATGTATTATTGCTTTTAATTTTATTAAACGACGCGTTCAGATTTTGTATCACATGAATGGCCTCTGGCGCGATTTAAATCATAACCAACGAAGAGATTATCACACGGCACACAAAACACGTGTTTCTTTTCTGCACGTAAAGCGAGTTTAGGTGCAGGGTTGAGACGTTGGCACACACACACCGCACGCACGCGACAGCACGCACACACCTCAACACCACGACACACAACACACACACACACACACACAACACACACAACGCACGCACGCACGCGCGCACATACACAACGACACACGACACACACGCACACAACAACCAACAAACATCGACACAACGGATGCAGCACACACAGAACTCGCACCGCGACGCACCAACCGCACGCGAACCAATATACAACACTTCACGCAGCGCAATCTTGTTACTTCGCCATTGAACAATAATTCGTTTGTCAGGCGAAGCGTATTTACAAGCAGCACGGTGATATGCGAATCAAACGACATCCTGCAGCAATCTGCCACCAGGCGAGGCGACATACAGGCGCTGCTGTCGCATATATCCTCGCTTTACCGTCGTTGCGTAACTGGCGTACGCGGTGGCCGCGGTGCACCTACACGTGCGGACGTGACCGCCCGAAGAGCGCTAGGAATCCGTCGATTTCTCTGCAGCATGTAAGAACAAAGGCACGTCTAGCGCTGCAGTGTATGGCGCTAGCTGTAGGCTCAAACTTGTCACAAGAACTATGGTGAAAAGCAATCATTGTACTGCCGTTCTCAGGCGACCACGTTTGCACGAGTGGTAGTTTTTTCATAACTGTTCAGACATCGAATACAGTTCATTCGGACGTATTGACGAGCTTACAGTTGTTGGACGTGTTACGGTTGTTACCGCCGGTTGGGCCAGTAATGGTTCGGGCAGCGATATTACCAGTAGTCCCCAGCCGGATATCACGCATCGGAGTCAAAAGTTGAAAAGGCATCAGATTCTAGAGTACATGCGCGATAACGGCTGAGGTCAGAGCATATGCATTTGCACGACAAGAACGCCACTCCGGCAGTTGCTCGTGCTGTTATTGCACGCGGGCGGCATCTGCTCCAACACAGGCTGACATAAAAACATGAACTGCTTTGGCGCTTCGGCTACAGCGCAACGAGAGTTTCGTCACTGCAGATGCATGAGGTTAGCTCCTGCACGTCCTGACTCGAACGGAAGCGCGCGTTGCCCTGGAAGGTTTCCCTTGGGGGGCGACGGCGGCGCGACCTGCTTGTCACCTAGGGAAACAACATACACCATCGTTATTATGTTATGTGATCTACGAGCGGCGCCATTGCCCTAATTTACCTGGATCGCAGCAGGGACGCAGCGACATCTGGAATAGTAAATTCGGTGTTCCAAAACGTAATAGTAATGCTGCTGTGGGCGAGCCAAGGCGTGGAAAATAGAATATTCATTGAAATGGCGAGGGATATCAATCACTGAAAAGATATCTATACTCTATTAAATGATGGGGATCTTTATTCAATAACTGTGTCGCGTTAAGTCAATTCTGGATATATTGAACTACGGAATGGTTGGTGGGTTCGACGCCGATTGTAGTTGGAAGATAAAAAAAAAGAGGATGGGCTTGTGAGAAAGCGCTATGTCAGTCGGCAGTAGGATTGTACTAAGATAAACATTGTATACTGAATAATATAATAATATAATAATAATAATGATTAATAATAATAATATAAAATGTCAGGTTAAACTTGCCCAGAAATATCATGCTTTAATATAGGCCTACCTTTTATTGTAACATGCAGAAATGCTAGTTCCATAATTTATTCAGTAATTTTCGTAATGGCAAGATCTACAGTATGAGCTCAATAAGCTGCCATTCCATTCTATAGCATACTGTGGCACTTTATGTTTAGATTTTCATATGCTTAGTTAAAATAGTGTCCCACTAATGGTCAAATAAAAATGCATCATGTGAATAATCAGCATATCATTATTAAAGATATATATACTATATTATAATATATATATATATAATATATATATATCTTTAATAGGAACGCAAATAAAATGTCCAGCGTATGTTTTATAACATTTTTGTCAGCATTTTGCATTAAAGAATAAATTTTCGATTATGTACTTTACGTTTTGCATCGAACTACGATAATGTATACTTATAATATATATACATTATCGTAATGATGCAAACGCTAGAAGACATAATAAAAGTAATGTTATTTTTATATGCAAAATATGCTTGAAGAAAAAATGTTATAACATTACACTGGACAATTTTAATTGCGTTCCTTATATATAACAATAGAAAAATAAAACAATGTGCGATTGCGACAGCTTATGTTAATCATAAAGATACTGGTGACCAAGGTGCAACACTGTTTGTTTAAGTAATCACGAATAGGTAATAGCATAAGAAGGAGTAAACGTTGTTTTAGAACAACCTGGCGGTGAACACGGTATCGTCGGTTTTTGCCAGTATCGAATCTATTATCGGCCATGGATAAACGATGTAAGCTGGCGGGACCACCTTGGAAGAGACCACGCTCATAGAAAGTATTCTCCGGACTCACTCTTCTCTCTCTCACACACACACACAACACACATCACACACACGTGATCACACCACTGACAGGTGTACACACACACACTCTCTCTCTGTTCCTCTCTCTCTCGTCTCTCTCTCGTCTCTCTCTCTCTCCTCTCTCTCTCTTCTTTTCTCTTTTCTCTGTCTCTCTCATCTGCTCTCTCTCGTCTCTCTCTCTCTCTCTCTGTCTCTGTCTCTGTCTGCTTGCATCTAACTGTTCGTTCTGGCTATCTCTCTCTCGTTCAAAAATCTCCGTTGCTTGCTCGCGCGTCTCTGTATCTATTAATCTGTTAGGACATCCGTAAGGGAAAGGTAGCACTCTAGGACTCACTCTTTCTCACTTTCTCTCTCTCTTCTCTTCTCCCTCTTTCTCTCTCTCTCTCTCTCTCTCTCTCATCTCTCTACTCTCTGTCTCTGTCTCTGTCAGGTCTTGCGTCTAACCGTTCTGGCTATGCTCTCTCGTTTCTCAAAATTACTCGGCTTGCTCGCGCGCTCTCGTGCGTATCTATCTATCTACCTCTGTCACTCTTGTTTGGCTTTTATCCATCTTTTTTCCGCTCTTCCCCATCTCTATCTGTCTCTCCTCTCCCTCTCTCTCTCTCTGTGCTGTGTTCTGTCTTGTGTAACGTTCTGGCTCTCTCTCTTCGTTCTCACATTCTCCTCGCTTGCCTCGCGCGCTCTCTGTATCTATACTCATTCTACCCTTTACTTATCGTTTGCTTTCATCTCTCGTCTCTTCGGTCTCTCCGTCAGTCTCGGTGCTGCTGTTGTCGTCTCCGCCTCTCTCTCGTGTGCTGTCTCTCTCTCTCTCTCTCTCATTCTCTCTCTCTCCGTCTCTCTCTTGTCTGTCTGCATCTTAACCGTTCTGGGCTCTCTCTCGTTCTCACCACTCTCTCGCGTTGCTCGCGCCGCTCTCTGTAAGTCTATCCTATCTACTCTTCCACTCTCCTTTCTTTTTGACTTTCTCCTAACTGCCTCCTTCCTCCTCGCCTCTCCGGCTTGCCCACCAGCCCCTCTGTGCCCCACTCTTCCTTGTCATGTCGCTCCGTGCGCCCCCTCCTCTCCTCTCTCGTCCTCCTTCGTCCTGTCTTGCTTGTAACGTTCTGGCTGTCTCTCGTCTTCTCACACTCTCTCGCTTTGCTCAGCGCGCTCCATCTATACTATTCTACATCAGTACTCTCTCACTTTCTTTTGCTTTCATCCTCTCCTCTTTCCGTCTCTCCCCCATCTCTCTCTGTCTCTCGCCCTTATCTCCTGCTAGTCTCCCTACTATATATATCTCCCCCATTCTCTCTTGCTCTCACTCTAGAATATTATGACATTGTCCCTGTGTAGATACACAGCTACAGCAAAATGCTTGACAAAAAATCAACAACTATATCAATCGCAGTCATGCGATCCTATACATGTAAAGCGTGTACATCCAGTGCATAATATAATTATATAATATATACTATATATATTTATTAGTATATAAGGAACATTTTGAGCGATTTACCCTAAGGCGTAGCTGTATGTTTACGTTAGAAGCTGCTGCTACCTGCTAGCGCCCAGTACGGCACACTTGCACTTGTTATTCTTCCACACGACGCTAGTGAAAATATACACGCGGCCATTTGATGACTCATAGTAATCTATGTGTATTAGGCAATAATAGCTATTATATATATATATATATATATAAACAAAGTCAAATTATAGAATAAGCGTGTTTAAAATTTAATTAACAAGCTTTCAAGTTTACATCTCTTCATCCGGTCAGCAGACATAATGGACATATATAATATCGTATAGATTTTTTTGCAGAAAATCAAGATACTTAAACAAGTCGTGTAAAATGTTACTTGTTATAGTTATCTAGTTGCTAATTTTTACATGTATAGATTGTTTGTTTTGTCTATTGTTGTCTATAGCTAGGTAACATAGGTATGTAACCTAGGTATTGCTTTCAAATGAAAACAGCGCTCTCACCGATACAAAGTTGTGCAAGCGAACACTCAAGCTTGTCGGCAATGGCGGCGATTTCTCGTAGCTGCTGCTGTTTCCGCCTACCTTCATCACTGAGTATCTTCTCCTTTAACCATTCATAGCTCTGCGAACGATTAAATAAAACACAGCTGTAGTGCGAGAGCCAGTCACTGTGCATATCTCAAGTAGGAAAGGTTAATACGATCCAAAACTGCGGTTAAAAGTTTAATCGCACTTGATTCTGACTAGTAACACCGTGACAATATAATGATTAGTATAGTCAATACAAAATGTATTAAAATGACTATCATTATCGTTATTATTATTATTATTATTATTATTATTATTATTATTATTACTATCATAATCATTATAATCAGCATCATTATCATTTTTGTGGTATAGGCAGTGGTAAATCATGTCATACTTTATATAATTATGAATTTATTGCAGATAGTTACAGGAACCTTTATTGCTGCCCGGGAGTGAAGGGGGACGCCATCGTCGTACTTCCCTGTGAGAAATCCACAGGCGAGAGGTGACCAGGTCATCGTGCCGACACCTTAACCAGAACCGGAAACACGTGTTACTATAGCATTTGCGATCGGTCAGATGGATCTAGTTCAGAGTATGGGCGAGGCCGGTTAGACCTTCCATTCTTTCAGGCGTATATGAATGAGAGACATTCATGTACCGTACTCATCTCTCGTTACTGATGTGCTCTACCCAACATTCATATACTTATATCTCATATAATATACTTATATTCGTCCGATTTAAAAAAAAATTTAATAATTAAAATTTTAAACTCGCCGATAATCGGTTTTTTCCTCGACTAGGAATTTTCTGCCTGCACAGTTATAGGTGCAAGATATGGTAGAACACCAGAGAGCGCTGTGGTAGATGTGTTCATGATTTTACGCACCTATTTTGAAGAATAACTCTGCCATGTTGAGCTCTACCTTGTCACGCTGGAAAAGGTTGTATTCGGCTTGCTCTGCTATCGGAGGTATCAGGTTGAATTGCCGAGCTACTGAGTACGCTTCCTGCAAACGCACCACACGACATAAGTTACCATGTAGCAACGGAAGATGGCGCCACCTCATCACGCTGTTTTATAGGGAGTCTTGAATGGCTTGGGCCTTAATTACTCGTGTGAACTGATATAACGGATTTTTCAACACGAGAGTAAGGCCACTATGAATAGCTATGCGTAGCGGCGTAGTGATATAACACAGTCCTCAAATTGTGAACCCATTTTGTTCCCGAATTGTATTCGTGCGAAAGTCGATTTTAGAAAACAAAATTGAAAACACAGTTCGTTGGATCGTGTTCGATTAGATTTTTTCTCGAAATACTCACTAAACATGGGGCGTTATTTGAACGTTCGAATGTTTATAACTTAACAACGACTCTCTGCAGTAGTGGCGCATTGCACGCGAAACCTTCGAGTATAGTGCCTTGTTCTAGTTTTTCTTGATTATTTCAAGCTGTTCAAGTATCTCAATTCTTAATGATCTCAAAAACAAATAAACGACCGAGATTGATGTTGTGGCCACAAGTGTTAATTACGTTATCTCTAGAAACAGGATATAGAAATACTTTGGTTGCTTGTTGTTTGCTAAAACACGTACCCGCCGTGCTAATAAGTGAATATTCACTAAATAAATGAATCGTCTAACGCTGCGTGTCGTGTTTTCGTGCCAAGCGCTTAATCATTGCTTCGCGGAATTCACGCAGGCAGGGTTATGCAAAACAGCAATCTATGTAATTCTTTGCAGTTTCTTTGACGCTTGGGTTGGTGCTGTAGCTTAAATTGTTGTCGCGACAGGCGCCATTCCGCAAATCTTCTCGCGTGACGTCTTTAAGAAGTGAAGGTCATTCAATGAGCTACTGATGCCATCGCGTGACCGTATATCGCTAGTCCATAACATTTCCTAACCCTTTCCTCATATTGCATTTAGTTACGCTTAACTTCACATGTCGGCTTTGTTATATATATTTATCAGGAGTTAATGAGACAAATTTGTCTCATTAACTCCTGATATTATGTATATATATATATATATATGTGTGTGTGTGTGTGTGTGTGTGTGTGTGGTGTGTGTGTGGTGTGTGTGTGCGTGTGTGTGGCGCGCGCGCGCAGACGAAGTGTGTGTGTGTGTGTGTGTGTGTGTGTGTGCGCGCGCGCGTGCGCGCGTGTGTGCGCGTGCGAACTGTAAGGAAGTTTCTATAGCAACGAGCTAGATTGTTGAATCACTAAATGTGTGTACGATGCGAAAATTATAAAAAAATTTAATTAGGTAGAGCGTTAATATGAGCAATCTATTCGAGGTCGCAAGACATATCTAATCATACATTCCGTACGCAAGCACTACGGAACATAAGCAGCGCTGCTTCTATGGGAAGAAGCTAGGATTAAAACACGCGTAAAATTCCATTTTCAGAGAGAAATGGAAAGCTTAAGCCTAAGCCGATAAGAGGAATGAAGAGTGGAGATAGTGTGAGCAACAGAGAAAACACAAAAAGATGGGTAAGAAAAGAGAGAGAGAGAAATATTCAGGAAAGGGGTAAAATAGGAGAAAAGAGGGGTTAAGGTTGAGTAAAGTCGTAAGAGATATAAATTCCAAGAAGAATTTGATACAGCATTCTAACCTAGTTTATTGTAGATTACCCACACTGGTTAACGAACGACTGCATGGTACATGATATTTGCAGTGATCGTGTCACACCCTGTCACACACACTACCTACCTGTGTGGTTGTGTGTGTGTGACAAGGAGGGACTTAATGCTAGCGCATCTCACCATGATTTCTATTGGCGCCCAGCGTGACGTGCCCCAGTACATCGTCCATCCTTGATTGATAGCGTACGTGAACGACCGAACAATCTCTGCAAGGCAATTGATAACCGCAGATCAAGGAATATATAACTCGTGACGACTAGCAGTAATTCGATAAGTGCGTTTAGTCGACGTTTGTTCGCCATGCGCCGACGATAGAGAGAAACTCAGCGAATGGATTTTCATGCATAAATTATTACCGATACCGTACGTTTTATTGTTATAAATAATATGCGCCATAAACTACTTTCGAATCGTGCGTGTTTCTCATGTGACTACAAGAATTTTACGCTATCGTGAATTCACAGTGCGCAGCAAGGAAATACGGTCACGTGACGGAGGAATTGAACCATGCGTCATGTAAAACATAAGAAAGCAACTGTTATCTTATTGATACTATAAGCTGGATATACCCTTTCAAGCTGGATATGCACAATAGAGCTATAGCGTATACGTTTCTAAATTAGACGGTAACCATAGAATTATCCCGCCATTGCTGAATGGAGTTCTCTACACTGCGTGCGTAGTAACGTGCCAAGGAAGTCCCGCTTGATAACACAGTTAGGAACATGTTCATTGTATATAGAAGATAATAGTCGTACATGGTTCACTCATGCGCACACATTGTTATAGTCGCCTCTGTCTGTGTAACCACCATTATAATGTCCAGGATAACCACTATTATATAACGGCATTGCTTCCTAAACATTTCCCCTTATTAACTTTCGTTTTGCTTATATAACTGCTTGCTGTATCACATTATTTCCTGATTCCGTATAACATATGCTACTCCTTCGTGTGATTACATCGTTTTCAGTCTCCAGTTCTCTGCATTGCTCTACGCTGATTTAATTAATAATTTGCGCTCGTCTTCACTGATCGCTATGTAAACTTTAACGGATTGCAGCGTCATGAAGACAGAATTGGGCGGTAATCCATTTCATACCCTACAATTGGCAAGTTGACCGCATACCATGTGCTGTACGAAGCGCGTGTGTCTAATCATGTTTCGCTGATTTCGTCTTTGCAGCTCGCCTCATGTATTATACATGCAAAGCCCATTGTTATATATAATTCATAATGTGTAGAGAATTCTTCAATTTGAAAATTATCGGAGGGAGTGGATGCGCGTTAAATTGGGTCACCTATATATGAATAGGCGTGAACACCGCTTGCAGCTAGGAAGAATTGATCGGCCGCGAGAAACAGAGAATGCGTGAGCAGCATATGAGACGAGAGAAAAACGACACGGCCTGTTTATCCCTATTTGCATTCGAAAGTACTGCAGCACTAACTGGGTAATGCTATCCCCCTGGCGTGGAGGGAGGTGACCGCAACGTGGCAGCACTAGTATTGGGATAGGGATTGGGATAGGGTTAGGATTAGGGTTAGGGTTAGGGTTAGGGTTAGGATTAGGGTTAGGGTTAAGGTTTTTGCATTATGATATCTGTCCTCACACCATAGATTAATTTTTGTGGATCACAATGCCTATATATAGCGCGGCGAGACATATATATTTAGTGTGAGGGTTAGTGTTGGCGGTGTTGGAGTGAGGTTTACCGTTAGGGTTAACGTTTTGAACGTCATCGTCAACGTTATCACGTGACCTCCCTCCACGCCCGGAGGATAGCAACACCCTAACTTAACAGCTTCAACCGTCCGACATTGTCAATTTATGATAATCAAGTGCGTTACGTGTAGGAAATACGCTAGTCGGTTGAACAGTTGGTGTAATACATACAAACCAGAGTCATTCATCAGTATTCATTGCTCGTTTTTTTAATTACCAAGGCCGTTGGGGAATTGTATATGACGCTTATACGTCTGTGTATAATCAGTAAAGAAATTTCGGAAGGTAATTAATAACGCGAACAACTTAACGACGACACTTTCAGAGGACATTGTATTCGAGTTTTTATTTAGCAGGAACGTAAGCATGCTGTCGTTTTAGCTAATTTGCTGTGACAGCTATAGTGACTGATGTTTAACGCGGGTTTGACAGCGCTAAGAGGAGTATCTACTGCGCTACACATTCAGCCATCTTACCGTGTGCACTGCTGCCCTACTGCACCCCTGGTGTGGTGATTTAACTCATATAACTGCAGTAATGATGACGACGATGATGATGATGATGATGAGAGGATGCGAGAGGAGAGGGGGAGAGTGGGGTGAGGAGGGCGAAAGAGTAATATAATAATATTATTTATTACTTATTCATTATTTTATTATTATTATTTTGTTATTATTATTCATATTCTTATTATTATACCAATAGCCACAAGAACATGATAGGACAGCGTCGAGCGATACACAACGACGCGATGATGATGCATGTTGATTGATGATATGCGATAATTAACAGTATACTTCTTGGGGTGTAGGATCGGGTCTATTTGCGACGACGTCGACGTTATTCAGTTGTAGTCGCTTCCCCGGTGAGCACGCCATCCTGCAGAGTGACAGGTGCTTTATTAATCCGTGCATGGTACATTACTGAGCAGGCAGGGATCTGTTTCAGGAGGGGACGGTGCGCGTGGGAGTGGGGGATATTTGGTGAGGGTGTACCAAAGGCCGCGCGGTGTCGGGGGTCCCATTTTTCTAGTATCATAGATCAGAAGTACTATAATATTTATAATAATCCTATATATCGAATTCTAATTTATTAATAATATATTTTATTATTCCCTCCTGTACATTATGTAGTGGCTTGAATGGGGGGGGGGGGGTTGCTAACTCACCTTTCTAGTATGTGGCCACTGCCTAAGGTCTTGGTCCAAACTGATAATATTAAGTACCAGTATGTCGCCAGGTCTAATATAGAGTGAGGGGAACTATTTGCTGCGAGTTTGAGTTGTATATTATCGAAAGTATATAGGTACGCTGGACTGACTGAAAGTTGCTGTGTATTTGGCTGTATGCATGCTGTGCAGCTGATAGGTGCTGTGCATATTATTTTTCAGATAGTGCTACTGTAACAATTGTCATAGTATTCAATTTGATTCACTATTTTATTCATTTTTCATTCATATTGAGTTTATATGCGCAAAGCGCCGTCAAGCATGCCATAAGATACTTCTAATTTAGATTTAGATTGATAAAGATTTTCGTTGATGAATTACGTATTCGTTGACTACTATCGCGTGTTCCACACTACTCGGGTAGGACGTGTGACAGCTGGGTATATGCGACTCAAACGTCATTAATACTGGCGTTGGTCCCATCACTAGCGTGGTTTTATGCACGTTACTTCTCGGCTGCGGAGCAACAGCGCAATGTCTCTTGTTATATTCGTGTATACCTTCGGGATGATTGTGCTTGGGTTTTAGTCATTCTCTGTTCGGCACTGACAATGTTACTTCGTTTATAAGCGTGATGTCTGCACGCATGAGTGAGTTACATGGCGTCTCTATGTGTAGTTTGCCGTTTATCTGATCCACACGTACTTGACCCGTGTTTAATATAAGCTGATGGTAATAAACATTATTTGCTTCCAGTACTAGGTTTTATTGTTTATGATTACTCTTTACCCGTATTGATACATTTTGGTTTACGGTATTAACTATGCGCGCGGCCAGGCTGGATTTGGTGCTCACTCTTTCCCAATGCTTTTATTATATATTTTTTTCTGTCATAGTTCGTGCACAAAGCTTGCGTTGTGTTGAGGGTTGGTGCAGAGGACATTCACCCGGCATTTACGGTGAATTATTGGCGCGTATAGAGATTATAAATTGAGCCGTTCGGCCGCCCGGTAGAGTAATTAAGTTTAAGTTCAACTGTTGCATTTATTGACGCATTATTTTATTTTGAACGTTACGTTGCTTTTTGCCTCTGTCGCCTCGGCTATTATGTGTATGAATGTTCCCGCTCCTGTTTTCCCGTACCGCGCGTCCCTTCGTGCTAGATCTGGATCATCACTGGCTCGCAAATATGTTGCCTGGTCTCAACGCAGTCTCTATGTCGCTCTAATCTATAGTCCCAAAAGAGCACGCGTAAATCTGGGGACGCGCCAACACTACCTCACGGCATTAAAGAGAATGCACACAAAAGACCCGATAGAACATACATTTTACAATTTATAAATAGCCGGATGTTTCTCTCGTGACAATTATTTAAAAGATGAGGTGGCGAAAAGTCGCGACATTAAGCATAGGATTATGGTCGCCATAGTTGCGACCATCTTTGATGAAGCCAAGCAGCATTGAACGTTCCGATGTTGAATGCCGCGAGTTATTTAGCAGGCGTCTACTGCGGTCTCAAAGGCTACGGATTTAAAACTCGCCTGGAAAACGCCAGGTTAATTTATCGCCAATTGTGTAGAGCGGTGGCATCACAATGCGAAATATCCAGTGCTTGTATTATCGTGTGGTACTGACCATTCCGGCCCCAGTAGATCTTCGTTGTTGACTATGTGTAATTGATGTGCTCGTTCTTTTTCTTCATGTGTTTCGAGCCTTATCTCTGCACTTAGAAATCAGTAGTAGAAATGATCAATACACGACGACCTATTTTAGTATGAACAATGCTCAAAACATGCTGCTCTTTTATCTATCTATTGTCCTATCAATCCATCCCTCTTCCGCCCTACTCTCTCTCTTTCCCCCTCTCTCCTCTCCTCCCTCTCTCCCTCTCTCGCCTTCTCCCCCTTCTCTCACTTCTCTCCTCTCTCCCTCTCTCCCTCTCTCCCTCATATCCTCCTCTCTCTCGTCCCTTTCGCCTTTTCTCCCTCTCTCCCCTCATCTCTCTTCTCCTCTCTTCCCCCTCTTCCTGTCTTCTTCTCCTCTTTCCTTCTCCTCTCTTCCCCCTCTCTCCTCTCTCCTCTTCCTCTTCATCTCTCTCTCTCCCTCTCGCCTCTCTCCCTTCTCTCTTCCTCGTCTCCTCTCTCCCTCCCTCATCCTCATCCATCATCATACCATCCATCATCTCATATCCTCCATCCATCATACCTATCATCCTCATCCGATCCATATCCTCCATCATGCATTCATCATCCATTATCATATCATCCAATCCATCTATCATCCATCATCATCCATCCATCCATCCATCATTCATCTCCATCTCATCCAGTCCATTCCTCATCATCCATCATCATCTCATTCCTCATCACATTTCTCCATGCCATCATCCATCCCATCATCTCAGTCCATCATTCATCACGTCCATCATAATCTCAATCAATCGAATTATCAATTCAAATCAATCAACTCAATCATCAATCAATCATCATCAATCATCAATGCATTCAATAATCAATCATTCAATCAATCATCAATCCTCCTCCTATCACCTCATCCAATCCATCAGTCCATCCATCCATCGCCTCCATCCAGCCATCCATCCATCATCATCTCCATCATCATCGTTCATCATCCATCCCATCCATTCATCCATCATCATCATCCTTCCTCACTCCTCCATCTCTATCTATCTATTCGTTATCTATCTATTAGTCTACTCTATCTTATCTATCTATTATGTGATTATCTATATATATATCTCATCCTATTTATCTTTATATCTATATTTCTATATATCTATCTATTCTACTTCTTATTCTATCCTCTCTTATCTTCTATCTATCTGTCTATTTCTATCATAAAGGAGTTCGATCTTTTATCTATTATTTCTATCAAACGATTCGATCTATACGTCTATCCTCATCATCGATCCATCTTTCTTTTCTTCCGTTCTATCTTTTGTTCTTCCTTTTTTTTTGTTTCGTATTAGCATCTTACTCTATTCTATCTGTTCATTGTTTTTTTGTCTATTCTGTCAGGTCTTGTTGTGGTGTGTTTGTCTGTCTGTTTTGCTTGTGGTGTTTGTCTGGTCTGTTGTTGTGATGTTATTTCTGCCTGATTTGTTTGTGTGTTTGTTGGTCTGATCTGTCTGTTCTGTCCTGTCTGTCTGTCTGTCGGCTTCTGTTGGTCTGGCCTGTCTGTCTGGTTGTCTATGTCTGGGCACTGTCCTTGTCCGCGTCTGTCTATGCGTTCGTCCCTGCCCTCGCCTCCCGCTCAGGCTCCTTCCTTCCCTCCCTCCTCCTCCCTCCCCTCCCTCCCTCCTCCCTCCCTCCTCCCATCCTCCCTCCTCCTCCTTTCCTTCTCTCTCTTCTCTCTCTCTCTCTATCTTCTCTCTCTCTCTCTCTCTCTTCGTCTCTCTCTTCTCGTTCTCTCTCTTCTCGCCTCCCTCCGCTCCTCCGGACTCCCTCCTCCCATCATCCATCATCCATTCCAGTCATCCATCATCCAATCCTCATTCCATCCTATCATCCAACGTCGCATCCATCATCATCCATCATTCTCTTCCATCCATCCATCATGAATCCTCCATCGATCACTCCATCATCCATCGATCCATTCCATCCTCCATCATCATCACTCCATCATCACCATCATCCATCCATCCAGAGCCATCATCCATCCATCCACCATCCCATCCTCATCCTTCATCCATCCAATCATCCTCCATCACCTAATCCATCCAATCCATCTAATCAATCAATCATAATCAATCATTCAATCAATCATCACTCATCAATCGAATCAATCATCAATCATCAGATCATCATCCATCCATCATCTATCCATCAATCCATCCAGTCGTCCTATCAATCTTCCGATCATCGATTATCCTCATCCTTCATTTATCATCCATCATCAACATCATCTCAGTCCATCATCCAATCATACGCATCAATCCAGTCGATCCATATCCATCCAGTCTCTATTATCTATCTTCTATTATACTATCCTATTTCTATCTATCTATCTATCTATCTATCTATCTATCTATCTGTCTATCTATCTATCTATCAAACGATCGATCTATTTATCTATCTATCTATCTATCAAACGATCGATCTATCCATCTATCCATCCATCCATCCATCCATCCATCCTTCCTTTCTTCCTTCTATCTTTCTTTCTTCTTCTTTTTCTTTTGTTTCTATTTAGCAATCTATCTATCTATCTGTTCATTGTCTATCTGTCTATCTGTCAGTTTGTTGTGTGTGTTTGTCTGTCTGTTTGCTTGTGTGTTTGTCTGTCTGTTTGTTTGTGTGTTTATCTGCCTGTTTGTTTGTGTGTTTGTCTGTCTGTCTGTCTGTCTGTCTGTCTGTCTGTCTGTCTGTCTGTCTGTCTGTCTGTCTGTCTGTCTGTCTGTCTGTCTGTCTGTCTGCCTGTCTGTCTGTCTGTCTGTCTGTGTCCTTGTCCGCCGTCTGTCTATTCGTTCGTCCGTCTGTCCGGCCGTCCATCTCGTTATCTCCCTATATATGCACATATTGAATAGCGTGCACGCGTACACTTACGAAAAGGTAAGAGAAGAGAAAAACAATTTATATTTATCTCGTTAGTTATCCCCTTATAATCGTTATTTATATAGCGTCTATTTATATAATATGTGGACAATTCTGCGTTGAAAATCAAATGGTCTCAGACTTTTATGGAATGTCCACGAGAGAGCTACCGTGCTCATAAAATGAAAGAAAGGAGTGTTATATAAGGAGCGCGAACAGGGGAAGGACAGCGACGACCGTCCATCGGGGATCTAGAGTACAACAAAGATGGCGCACACGTAGGAATTAATTTGACAGATAAATAGAGTAGTAGTTCTTCAAGACCGATACGCCTCCGCGCTTATAAAGAGAAAATAACCGAATGTGACGATATTACAACGAGACGAGTGAAGGAACCAAAATAATGAAGCGAGCGCTACGAATCTACGATGACATGAGAGAGGGCCACGCCAGCTCTAGAAATCCCAGCTACATCTATAAATGCTGAGCTTGTAATATAGAATGAAACATGTAGGAATCTGCAATCTATCTAGTCTGGAATCTATTTAGATGTATAAACCCATGCAATTTGATGGATTTTGCCCTATTCAACACCCAGCATGTTTGGTTGGCATTTCACAATAGAATTGCTTGCGGGCATATCTGTCGACAATGATTTATTTGCAAGCTAGCGGCTAAATAATACTCTGCTTATCCATCCATTAATCCATCCACCCATCTATTTAACTGTCCGTCCGTTCGTCCGTCCGTTTGTTCGTCCGTCCGTCCGTCAGTCTGTCTGTCCTGCCATCCGTGCGTGCGTCCGTCCGTCCGTCCGTCCGCGCGTCTTTCTCCTATCTTACTATATCCCAGTGTCGGCGGATTTGGAGATTATATGGCCCATAGATCTAACACGCGCTCTCTGTTATTAGAAAATTTATATTAAATTTACGCTCTGTAACCATCCAATTAAATTTACCTGGGCAACAAAAGTCAGTCACCAATTTAACATAGTTTCTAATAACAACTGCAAGAAAGCGGCATATAACGGTATAACAAACAAATATAATATGTATATTTGTATAACATATATTGTATTATATTGTATTATACTGTATTGTATTGTATTGTACGTATTGTATTGTATTGTATTGTACAATATATATGTTATATTGTATTATATTGTATAACATATATTGTATATTATTTCATTATGTATAACAAAAATAGTAGCAACAAACAACCGTAAGCGTAAAATCACTGCGTTTATCGTTTTTACCACATCGGCGCCACCAGCATCAGCGTTTGCAGCCTCGGATAACTTTCTGCATGCCACGTGTGTGGCAGCCTTTCGTCGAATATCCAGATGAGACGGGATACTTGCGTTGTTGTTGTTGTTATTGTTATTATTATTAATAATATTATTATTATAAACCACATTGCCAACAACGAAATGTAGGACAACGACGACGATAACAACAACGAAGACGATGATGATGATGTTGATGATGATGATGACGATAATAACAGTATACCTTCCATTGGGGTGTAGGGATCGGGTCTATTTGCGAACACGACGTCGACGTATTCCAGTTGTAGTCGCTCCAGTGAAGCACGCAATCCTGCAGAAGTGACAGCGTAGCTTTATACATCCCGTCGCAAGGCTACAACATACCTGAGCAGGGCCGGATCTAGCTTTCAGGAGACGGGGGTGGGAGTGGGGGATATTTGAGTGAAGGCGTACCAAAGGCACGCGGTGCTAGGGGGTCCCCATTTTACTAGTATCATAGCATCAGAAGTAAATAATAATATATAATATATAATCTATATAATCGACATTAATAATCTATTAATAATATATTATTATTCACTCCTGATAACATTAGTCAGTGGCTGAACTGGGGGGGGGGGGTTGCAACTCCCAACCTCTTCTAGATGGGCCACTGCTAAGATCTTCCACAACATCGTATAAGTACCAGAATGTCGCCAGGTTACATATAGCGTGAGGCGAACATATATTGCTGCGAGTATTGAGTTGTATATTAAATCGAAAAGTCATATAGGTACGCTGGACTACTGAAACTGCTGTGCATATTGTGCTGTGCATGCTGTGCAGCTGAAGTGCTGTGCATATTATTTTCAGATAGTGAACTACTGTAAAACAATAGTCACAGTTATTCATTATTCACATTCTTATTCATTTCTCATATCATATTGATATACTATGCCAAGGCGTCAACGCAAATGCCATAAGGAAACATTCTAACAATTTTAGATTTAGATGATACAAGCATTTGTATATGAATTACTATCGTGACATAGCGCAGTTTCCACACATACATCGAGCTAGACAGTACAGTGGGTACATATGCGACTCGTACATGAATACTGCGTTGAGTCCCACACTAGACGTGGTTCATTATGACACCGTTACTTCTCGGCCGCGAAGACAACAGCGCAATGTCCACTTTCGTTTATCACGTGTAAATACCTTCGATGATGTGCTTGCGTGATAGTCCCTTCTCTGTCTCCGCACTGAAAAATGTTCACTACGTTATACGTTGATGTCTGCACGCATGAAGTAGAAGTTAATGCGCTCTCTATGACGTTGCCGTTCCTATCCTGTACCACACGTACTTGACCCGTTTTAATAATAAACTGATGGTAAATAAACACAAATTCTGCTTAGTACCTAGGTTTTAGTGTTTATGATGTACTCTCTTACCCCGTACTGACTACAAATTTGGTACGGTATTAAACTAGCGCGCGCCAGGCTGGATTTGGTGCTCACTCTTTCCCACATGCTTTATTTTTCTGTCATAGTTCGTGCACACAAGCTTGCGTGTGTTGAGACTGTGTGTTGCAGAGGAACATTCAACCCGCATTTACGTGAAAGTAATTGGCGATATAGAGTATATAAACATTGAAACCTTGGTAGTAATTAAGTTAAGTTCAACTTGCATTTATTGACCATTATTTTATTATTGAAACGGTTTACGTTGCTTGTGCCATGTACGGGCGCCTACATACCGGCTATAAATGTGTACTGAATGCTTGCCTAGATCTAATCAATACACTTGCTCGCAAATAATTAGTGCCGTCTCAACGAGTCTCTATGTGTTCGTCCTCTAATCTAATAGCATACGAGCAACGCGTAAATCGAACGCGCAACACATACCTACACGAGCATAAAAGAACGAAAATGCACACAAAAGCAACCAGATAGAAAATACAATTTTAAAATAATAAATAGCCGGATGTTTCTCGCGTGACAATAATTTACAAATTGCGTAGGCGACACAAAGTAACGGAGACAATTTAAAGCAATCGGATTATGGTACGCATAGTTGGCCACTCGAATGAAGCCAAGCAAAGCATTGAACGTCGCTGCTAGAATGCCCGCGAGTTCATTGTACGCACGGCGTCTACGCAAGGTCTCAAAGGCCACGGATTTAAAAAACTCGCACTGGAAAACGCCAGGTTAATTATCGCATTGTGTAGAGCGTGGCCATCACCACATGAGAATATCAGTGCTGTATATCGCTGCGTACTGACCTTCCGCCCCAGTAGATCTTCGTTGTTACTATGTAACTTGATCTCCTCCATTCTTTCTTCTTCAATGTGTTTCCGAGCACTATCTCTGCACTACGAATCAGAGTAAGAAATGATATAATACATACAACGACATATATTAGATACACATCTCACAAAAATGTTGCTTTATTATCTATCTATCCATCCATCCATCCATCCCTCTCTCCCTCTCTCCCTCTCTCCCTCTCTCCCTCTCTCCCTCTCTC